TTAGTAAAATATATATATCACAAAATTTACCATTTTAACCATTTTTAAGTGTACAATTCAGTGGTATTAAGTGCATTCACATTAGTGTGTAACCATCATCATCCATCCATCAACCATCATCTCCAGAACTTTTCATAATCCCAGACTGAAACTCTGTACGTATTTAATAATAAATCCAAATTCTCCCCTCCACCCAGCCCCTGATAATCACTGTTCTACTTTCTGTGCCTATGAATTTGATTATTCTAAATACCTCAAAAAATAAAATCATACAATATTTGTGTCTGGTTTATTACAGTCAGTATAAGATTTCCAGGTTCATCCATGTTGTATCCTATATCAGAATTTCATTTTTTTTAAAGCTGAATAATATTTCTTATATGTTTATAACACATTTTGTTCATCCATGTTTCTGTTGGACATTTGGACTGTTCCCACAGTGTGGCTATTGTGAATGATACTGTTAGAATATTAGTGTACAAATACCTATTCAAGTCCTTGCTTTCAATTCTTTTGGGTATATACCTAGAAGTGGGATGCTGGATCATATGGTAATTCCGTGTCTAATTTTTTTGAGGAACCACCATACAGTTTTCCACCGTGGCTACACCATTTTACATTTGCACCAGCAATGTTCATGGGTTCCAATTTCTTCAAATTCTTGCCAAGACTTGTTCTTTCCTTTCCTTTTCTTTGTAAAATAATAGCCATCCTAATAAATGTAAAGTGGTATCTCATTGTAGTTTCCATTTGAAATTTCATAATGATTGATGATTTTGAACATCTTTTCATGTGCTTGTTGGCCATTTATATATCTTCTTTGGAGAAATGTCTATTCAAGTGCTTTGACCGTTTTTGATTTGGACTGTATGTTTTTTTGTCATTGAGTTGTAGAAGTTCTTGATATATTCTAGATATTAATCTCTTATCAAGTATATGATTTGCAAATATTTTTTCCCAGTCTACAGAGTTCCTTTTTACTCTCTTCATAGTGTCATTTGATGCACAAAATTTCTCGATTTTGCTGAAGTCTAATTTATCTATTTTTGTTGTTGTTGTTGCTTGTGCTTTTGGTGTCATATCCAAGAAATCATTGCCAAATCCAATGTCATGGAGCTTTTTTCCAATGTTTTTTTTCCTAAGAGTTTTATAGTTTTAGTTCCTATGCATAAGTCTTTTATCTGATCCATTTTGAATTAATTTTTGTATCTGGTGTTCCATTAGCTTTTTTTTTATTATGTTATGTTAATCACCATACATTACATCATTAGTTTTTTTTGTAGTGTTCCATGATTCATTGTTTGCATATAACACCCAGTGCTCCGTGCAGTACATGCCCTCTTTAATACCCATCACCAGGCTAACCCATCCCCCCACCCCCTTCCCCTCTAGAACCCTCAGTTTGTTTCTCAGAGTCCATAGTCTCTCATGGTTCGTCTCCCCCTCCAATTTCCCCCCCTTCATTTTCCCATCAGCTTTTAAAATAAAATCCAAACTGGATCTAGCTTACCTTTCCAATTTTATCTCTTAGCACTCCAACCTCCCCATTCCACTCTACTCCACCCGTTATGGCTTCCTGTCTCTATTTTTTCCCCAGCTTTATTGAAACATAATTGGTATATAACGTGTAAATTTAAGGTACAACATGCTGACTTTATACATTTATATATTGCTGAATAATTACCCCTGTGGCATTAACTAACACCTCTATCCCTTTACTTATTTTTAACACACTAAACTCTTGTCCATCTCTGAGAGTTTACACTTGTTCCCTCTGTAGAGATGACTCTGCATGGCTGGTTCAACCTCACCTTTCAGGTTTCAGCTCAAACATCATGTTCCTTCAGAGGCTTTGTCGACTCCGTCCTTTCTACTTCTCCTTTCCCTTTGTCTTCCTGTCCTTTCCAGGTTATTCTTTTTATTCTATCCCATTTATTTCCTTTATAACACTTAGAAAATCTGTAAATGCTCTGTTATTTTTTTTTAAAGATTTTATTTATTTATTTGAGACAGAGAGAATGAGATAGAGAGCACGAGAGGGAAGAGGGTCAGAGGGAGAAGCAGACTCCCCGCTGAGCAGGGAGCCCGATGTGGGACTCGATCCCGGGACTCCAGGATCATGACCCAAGCTGAAGGCAGTCGCTTAACCAACTGAGCCACCCAGGCGCCCCTAAATGCTCTGTTATTTGTTTTTGTTTTGTTTTGTTTTGTTTCTTGTCTATCTCCGTTCATTGAATGAATAGGAATTATTTAGTCCTTAGCTAAGAATTCTCAGTTTTTTAAAATTTGCCTTCTGCTTAGCCTTAGAACTATGGAAAAGTATTCCATCTTTTAATGTGGTTAATCAGTTAATCATGTTGATCTCAAAGATTGCTTGTTTTCCTTTATTTGAGATACTATGGGTTAGATCTATTTAAAGATGTGTTTGGATTTGACTAACTTTGTTTTCTGTCCACCAGCTCTGCCATTTTACTTTGAAGACTGAGGCACAGAGAACTTATGAAGAAGCTGATAAGGAGGCCTGTCTAGAATGATAAATAGGCCTTTCTAGTGTGAGGGGTGGGGTGAGGGTGATGGTGGTAGTGGGGAGTATTCATAGAAGGGTTTAGTGGGGCTATCTGTTTTCAAGCAATATTTCATGGAAATGGCCCTTTGCTGATCGTTGATGATTGTTATGCTGAAAGAGAAAATGTATACAAGGACTTCCACTGTGTGTAGAAGGTGATAGTTCTCTAAGCAGTTCACATAATAACTCATTCATGATTAATATTGAGTTGGACAAGCGGTTTATTAGGTAATAATTATCTCCTCTTGTGTGACCTTATCTTGGCAGAGAACTGCTGTTACTAAGCAAGAGGAGGAGTGGTCACTCATTTCTATCAGGCTGAATAGCAGAATAACAAGGGTTCAGGGAAGACTCCTTGTTCAAGACACTTTGCAAAAACAAGAAGAGTATTTTCTGCAGAAGAGTGAACCTTGGTTGGCTAGCTGGAAATGTGTTCTGACTCTGATGTTTATATTCGTTGGCCAGCTGGTCTTTGGGAAAACTTGCACAGAGATGTCTTTGTGTGAATCCCTTCAAAATGTGCACGAAGCTGTAGTTGTCTTTTGCTGTGACTTCATCCCAAATGAGCTAGAGTGACTAACCAGGTTGGTGGAGAGTTTATCTAACTTGGTTAACAACATCTATCTGAGATCATTAAAATGTAAACAAGATAGAGTTTTCTGTTTAAACAGCATCAGAGATTGTCTTTGATCTGATGCCCTGGATGCACCTTACTCCCTCCTTCGAATTCTCTTAGCACTCTTGTTTCATCTGTGTTCATTCCTCTGTTATATTCTTTATCTTATCTCCTTAACTACAAGCTCTTGCTGGATAATATCATGCCTGATTTATCACTGCATCCTCCATAGCCTATGGTACCAGGGCTTTCAGATACAAAAATTGACAGTAATAATGATAATAACTAACCTTTATTTATCCTATATGCTGTGCCTATGTGCCAGGCTCTGTGGTTTGTTTGTAGTAACTTTATTTTCCCAACAATCTCTTGAGATATGTACTATTAAAATTCCTGTTATCTTATAAATAAATTAAGGCACAGAATTGTTAATTAACTTCCCAATGGTCACATAAGCGAGTATATGACCAGGCCATTCACCCTAAGGACTGTGATCTCAACCTCTAAACTATATAATAAGTGATGAATAAATGTGTGTTGAATAGAAGGTATGTTTGCTCTTGGGGTGAAGGTCATTTGACTCCAGACCATAACAGACCTGATAGGTCCATACTGGTTTTTATCAACTTTGAGCATTATTTAATCAGGAAGATTTCTAAAAGATCAAGTTAGGATGAATCTTGATGCTCATTTATTTATATACACTTATTTATATTTAAATACAAATATTCATTCAACAACTATTTATTAAATACAAAATATGTGTCAGACCCTTGCTAGCTATGAAGGAAGGATAGAGAACAAAAAGAAATATGGTCTGAGCGCTGGTATAGCTTACCTTCAAGTGGGAATGATGGGCATTGATAGTTACACTAAATGAACATGTGAATTACTACAAATTGAGGTGTTGCTCTGAAGGAAGAGGAAACTAGTCCTGGAGAGCACGTAACAGAGGAACCTGACTTGGGCCAGGTGTCAGGGAAGGCTTCTATGAAGAAGGCATCTTTTAGTTGGTTTGGCTGGAATACTGCTGGTTCTTTGTGTTATTTTCTACTTCTGACAATTTCTTGCTCATGTTCAGTTTCCAAATACATGCCCAGAGAGTTCCTAGTTGTAATTTCCCTGAGTTGTTCCTTTCCTTAATTTTCACATTTCTTTTGGTTTCCAGGATCATTCGTTACTTATGTCCACCGCCCCCTCCCATCTCTTTCCCCCTCATTCTGTTGATCAGGGGTGTGAGCAATGGCCCACGTCATCCCTCGTCCCTCATGCCACCCCTGGCCTCTGATGCATCACTTTAATGACACTGCTAACACCTACACAGTTCTCCTAAAATCCCTCCATTAGTCATTCCTTTGGTCAGGGCTCTTAAGGTCCTTTTAAAATTCATAAATTCTCTCTGGGAAGGTAGCACATCTAGCCACTTTTTAGCTATTAGTTTTTCTCATCAACTAGGTTCGGAGAACAGGGCCATGAGGTGATTTTTAATAAAGCGTTTGAGGAAGTGTGAAGCAACACCTTGGAAAAGATGCTTCCACAAAAACTAAGCAGCCCTGAAAGGGTTCTAAAACGAAGTAGGAGATGCTGACTGAAGGGAAGAGTGACTCCAAAGCCAGCCACCTAATAAGATGGGCAGGAAGAATCAGCCACCTAATAAGATGGGCAGGAGGGTGGTCATTCTGTTCCTACCCTTCATCTCTTCAGACTGACTTATTTTGGCAAGGTGAGTTCTAGGTGAGCACATAATTTCCTGCCCTAACAAGGGCACTTTTGAGAATGAAATGGGGGAACTTTTAAAAATTATATAGGATTACTCCAGCCGAATCCCAGCCCCAGGGCGAAGCGTCTCCTTATTTATTTACATTTTCTCGCCACTGCAGCCTCCAGACACGGTGATCCGGGCGGGCCCCGCAGGAATTTTATCCCCTCACCGGCCTCACACTAGTATCGCATGTCCACTATCCAGAACCTCCGATCTTTCGACCCCTTTGCTGATGCAACTAAGGGTGACGACTTACTCCCAGCAGGGACTGAGGATTACATTCATATAAGAATCCAGCAACGGAACGGCAGAAAGACACTGACTACTGTCCAGGGCATTGCAGATGATTATGACAAAAAGAAACTTGTGAAAGCTTTCAAAAAGAAATTCGCCTGTAATGGTACTGTGATTGAACATCCTGAATACGGAGAGGTTATTCAGCTTCAAGGTGACCAAAGAAAAAACATTTGCCAATTTCTCTTGGAGGTTGGCATTGTCAAGGAGGAACAGCTTAAGGTTCATGGATTCTAAAATGAACCTAAATACGTGGAGAATTTCTTGAATAATTTTGTTCTCTAAACCCAGTTTGGCTGCCTTGTGAAATGATTCTCTGCAGTAAACGGACTTTTCATGTATTTAATCATTCAGACTCCCATTCACACCTGCATGATTACAGAAAACATGGGGTATGTAGGCTAGTAACACATAAGAAAATTGCAGTAAGATGGTAATGAAATCCCATATTCATCTTAACATGTTTCCAATGGAAAATATTTAGTTTTGAGTGTTTATTTGTTTATTGTTCAGTTTATTATTTTTCACTTGATTAAATGTTTTTTTTGTTGTATTAAACCATGTATGTTGCAGCTTAACAATAAAGAAACATCTATGAAAAAAAAATTCTATAGGATCAATAGCTATAAACAAGGATTGTCCTGGCAAACGAGGACACATGATCCCTCTGGTTACAGGAGGCACTGGGGAGGAATCTCCCTGCGAGGTTTAATGAGGAATTTTGTATCCTCCCTGCCGCCCCAGCAGGAGTCAAATAAAAAAATGCAGCTTCTTCCTCCTAGGTCTACACACAGTCACAAGACAATTATTTATTTGAATTTTTAAAAAAAGTATTGACTCATATCTATGTATTCTTGGTTCAGAGTAAAAGGTGAAATGCTTTTACTCTAAATGGAGAGGTAGGTTGGGGGCAGGTTGCAAAGGGGCTTGAATGCCATGCTTAGGAACATCAACTTAATCCTGTCTGTACAAAGAAACTGTCAGGGGAAGGATGCAAAATGACCCAGGGCTTACAAATACCACCCTAGAGACCGTGGAGAGAATGGGTGGGTGTAGCAAACACACTGGAAGTGGAGATGCTTTGGACAGACAGTGCAACATGACTGTGGTCCCAGGGAAGGTGCTGAGGATCTGAGTGAGAGCAGAGGTAGAGGTCACAGAGTGAGGGGGCTTTATCTGAAAGATATTGTGCAGTTAGAATCACTGGCCCTTGATGAATTACCAGGTGTGGGGAATGAGGAAGAAGAAGGAATAAAAGGTGATTCAGGTTTCCAGAAAGACTGACTAAGATGAAGGGCAATGCTGTTAGCTCAGATAGGGGACACAGGAAGAGGAATGAGACTGTGGATAAGAGAGGTTTTATTTTTTATATAAAATTTAAAGAACATGTATGATGTACCAGGGCTTTGCTAGAACTTTCCGTACCATCTCACCTGATCCTCTCAGTTGACTATGAAAGGAGGTCTTGGTATTACCCATATTTTACAAAGTAGGAAACTGAAGCACGAAAGGGTTCAGTGCCTTGCTCTGGCCGCCCAGCTAATACATGGTGGGGATGGAATGTGAAAGTAGCAACAGCTCCCACTCTTATTATTGTGACCCCTTCTTGGAGGTGAAGATTGAATATATCAAAGTTGTGGCAGTCTGGGGCTAACTAATCATTGACATAAATTTGGCAGATGAAAATCTAGTTCTTTTTCTGGTTTGTTTTTATTTTCCTTCTATATATGTGTATTATCAAGGCACGACATGGAGTCCCATTCTCTTCCCTCTCTCGATTTTTTCCCCCCACTTTTATGGCTGCAACCATAACATCCATGGGATGTCTCCAAAGCCTCGATCTCAGGGCTTGACAAACAGCTGCAGATCTTCAGCTGCCTTTTAAACATCTCTAATTGCATTACTGTTGCCATGAAACTATTTAAGCCCTAACTGAGGATCTACAGTGCAAGTCTTTAAGGCCTAGGAGGAGCCTTACATATCGAATTATTGACAGGACTCTTCTCTGCCAAACGTTCCTGTAGTTGTAACTTGTGCTATCCAATACAGTTTAAATTTAAATTTAATTAAAAGTATGTGTAATTAAAAATTCATTTCATCAGTCTCATTAGCCAAATTAAAATGCTCAGTGGCCGTTTGTCACCAGTGGCTACCATGATGGACGATGCTGATACGGAACATTTTCATCAGTACTGAATGTTTCACTGGATAGTGCTGTAGATTAACCAACCATCCACGTCTAACTCCAAAATTATCTACTCCTTGATTAGCTCAACTTCATACTTCATACCACTGTTATGGATTGAATTGTGTCCCCCATCCACCCAAAGTCATATTTTAAGCCCTAACCCCTCAGTGTGATTTTATTTGGAGATAGGGATTTTAGGGAAGTAATTAGGGTTACATGATGTCATAAGGGTGGGATCCTAAACTGATAGGGCTGTTGTCCCTGTAAGAAGAGGAAGAGACCCCAGACATCTCTTTTTTCCTGTACGTGACAGGGGAAAGATCATATGAGAACTCAGTGAGAAGGCAGCCACCACTCCCATCCATGCCTTCATACCCAAACCTAATACATCTTCTTCTCTTGAATTTGATCTCCTCTTTTGCATATATAGGTGTTGAACAACACAAGTTTGAACTGCACAGGTCCACTTATAAAAGGATTTTTTTGCTAAATATAGCACAGCACATAAATGTATTTTTTCTTTCTTATGATTTTCTTAATAACATTTTCTCTACTTTATTGTAAGAATGCAGTAATACATATAACATAAAAATATGTGTTAATCAACTGTTTGTTATTGGTAAAACTTCAAGTCAGCAGTAGGCTATTAGTTAAGTTTTGGGGGAATCAAAAGTTATATGTGGACTTTTGACTATGTGGGGGTCAGTACCCGTAATCCTCACATTGTTCAAGGGTCAGCTGTAGCTTGAATATTCTCCTTCCTTTCCTTTTTTACTACTAACCTAGCATCATCTCATATTTAAGATACTGAACTACCTGGGGTGCCTGGGTAGCTCAGTCAGTTAGGCATCCAACACTGATCTCAGCTCAGGTCATGATTTCAGGGTCGTGAGATCGAGCCCCGTGTTGGGCTCTGCACTCAATGGGGAGTCTGTTTGAGATTCTCTCTTACCCTCTCCCTTTGCCCCTCCCCATGCTCTCTCTCTCTTTCTAAAATAAATAAATCTTTAAAAAGAAAAGATACCAAACTACCTGACATCATTTTTCCTATTACCATTTTAGACTTATAAATTAATTTCACCAAAAGATTCTTTTCATTTATATGATTTTTTGGTCATAATCCTCAGAAGTTCTAGGGAAAAGCCCAAACTTCTTATTCTAAGATTCCAATTTGGCCACTCTCATGCCTCTCTCCTCAAACTGCACACAGTCTAAACAAATCGATCTTCCGACTCACCCCCATACTTTAGCAACTACTGACCTTCTCCTTGCTCAGGCATCTTGCCTCAGGATGTAGGTGAATCCTGCTCTACATCCTGACCATTCCAGCTCTTCATAATCCATCATCCCCAATGCACCTCCCATCTCCCTCATGTCTCCTAAACTCCTAAACTTCACACATCATCAGCAACAACAGCATCACAACAGGAATTACAATAAAAAATACCAATGTACTTAGTGGTTACTATAAGCCAGCAACTGTATTTAGAACTTTAATCATCCTACTAAATTTTCATAAAAGCCCTATGCAATCAATATCATTCTCACCATTTTTTACATGGAAAGATAAGGATTGTATTGCTCAAGTTAGGGCAAGTTTTAGCTTATTCTTCTTGTTACATTCTGTCCTCAACACTAATTTGGTGCTTCATACCAGAATATTTATTTTTTTCAAATGAGGATCCTATTTCCCCTATTAACTTGGAAGCTTCTTGAAGGCAAATCCTGTATCTTGCACACTTCATTCAAACATTGAAGCAGATCTCAAACTATATTGGTTCTTTCCACTCATCCATTTCACAACAACTTGCAAGTCGCTCCTTTTAAATCCCATCTCTTAAATATTTGCCTGCCTCAGATATTAGCCGTAGTCCTTCTGTTTTTCTTACTCTATAAATTTTGCATGCTGATTTCATGAGCTTCTGGCTCCATTACCAGCTTTATATGTGGTTGAGCATTGTATGTACAGCTCAGGCCCACCTGGCATGCAGGCCAAGCAGATTTCTCTGGTAGAAAATATACTTATTCAGGGAAAGGTTGGAATCCATCAGGGGTACTGGAACTCTCTGTTGTGACCTTTGGCAGGGCTGAGACTAGAGGAGGCAAGTGAAGTCCCTAGAGTGCAAAATTTGAGGAGGCATTCCCTCAGGATTGTGAATTTGTTGCCCCTGCACTTGTATAACCCTGAGGGTGAGTCTTGGCCTTGACTTCTAGGGTGAGCCTGGGGAATATGCTTGGGGTATCAGTAATGTCCTGGGCTTTCCGCTTTTTAGATTTTAAGTTTCTTAAGAAAGAAACTGATGTTTCTAACCCCTCCCCACCAGTACTTTATAACACATCAGTCACTCAAAAAAAAAAAAAAAAAAGAAAGTAAAAAAGAAAGGTTGTGATGTTGAATTGAATTCCATCTATCTTTGGCCTGTCCCTACAGAGGAAGGCTATATAGAGTTCCCATTTCCCCACTCTGAGTTTTACCCTAGACCAGCAGCGATGATATTTATAAAAGATTTAGGAACTAAAGGGAATCAACAGGCACAGGAGGCTGCAATTCAGGAACCAGAGCTAGAGCTGTGGTTCCCAATGTGTGGTTCCAGGTTCCACAGCATCATTAAGCCTCCCCTGAGAACTTGTTAGGATTCAAGTTCCCAGGCCCCACCCCAGACCTAATGAATCAAAAAATTGGGGAGTGGGAACCACAGACTATGTTTTTATAAGGCTTTGGGTGATTCTGAGCCAGAGAATGATCAGGTAGTGGATCAACCTAATGACCAAAAGGATTTCTTAGACCTAGCCAGTGGGAAGAAACTGTAACATTAGGATATCAGTCTTGTTTACTAGCAGAGCTGAGTGAGACTGACCTTGGGGAATGTGGTTCTATTAACAACAACAAAATAAAACAACAATAACAATAACAAAAGTGAAATCTGAGATGCTTTAGATATTAAAGAGAAGGGTTTAGTTTTTAGAGAGTTTCAAACTGTTGAATAAAAACCCAAGGAATGACAAGGATCCTGAAGAAACTGGAGTGTCAGGGGACACTCAAGATGAGACAAGCTTGCTCAGAGGACAGCTGGATGTCAGAGCAGACACAAAAGCACAGCAGGGCATCAGAACTTGGCACAGATACAAAACTCTTGCAAAAAATGCAGGTAGTCTTCAGTTTGGTCCTGTAAAGACACAAAAGAGATGGTGGAGTTGGAGAGACTGGAAGGAGAGGGTGTGTTCAAGACTGAGTTTCAGAAAGAACAGATGAACCTACAGAGCAGGCAGGCAGCCGTTAGGGCTAGGG